GTGTGGAAACAGGACTATTTATTTCTAAACAAAAAGAATCACTTGGGTGACCTTTCCATGCAGGTCTGAACAGGTCCCAAAGGAAGGGGCACAGGCCCAAAAGGCAGCTCCCGACTTGGGAGACTTGACTTCCTGCTCCCACGGCTCATCTGGCGCCAATTCCTTATTTTGCCTATCTACCCACCAGGTGATGTTCCCTCTTTTCCTGGGTGAGCGGGTTCCTCCTGAGACTCTGGCAGCCACACTTGCGGAATTGGATGGGAACCTACAGGTGCTCGAGGACACGTTCCTCCAGGACAAGGCCTTCCTTGTTGGGCCCCACATCTCCCTGGCTGACCTGGTCGCCATCACAGAGCTGATGCATGTGAGTGCTGTAAAAAGAGCGCCCCCCCCCGCCCACCCCCACCCCGTAAGATACAGGGAGTGCTGGCTAGTTACAGAAGTCCTGGTTTTGCTAACCTTCACTAGTTAGAGATCTGTTCCTATGTCTCCGGAGACTCCTTCCAGATTTGTGTGTGTCCTTGGCTGTTCTAGTTTGCTCCTCTGTTGCTGTCTAAAACACTAACCCAAAAACCATTTTGGGAGGAAAGGGTTCATGTGGCTTACTGGCTACACTGCAGCATGGAGGGAAGCCAAGGCAGATACTCCAAGGCAGGAGCTGGAAGCAGACATCATGGAGGGATGCTGCTTACTGGCTTGTGCCCAGTGAGTGGTTTGCTCAGCTACCTTTCTTATACAGCTCCACAGCTCAGGCCCACCACCCAGGCGTGGCACCATGCACTGCGTACTGAGCCCTCCTACCCCAGTTAGCAATCAAGAAAGCACCCCACAGACATCCCCACAGGCCAGTCTGATGGAGACCATCGCTCAGTGGAAATTTGCTCTTCCTTGGTATATCTACATTTGTGTCACGTGGGAAAACATTAGCCAGTGCAGTGTTCTCCTTGTCTGCCTGACACGTGAACACATCATTGTTAAACCGTCATCTTCCATTTCTTTGTCCCCAAGGTCTAGGATCACAAAGCACAGTACAATTTTAAATGTCCCATAGCCTCTTAAAATGCCCGATGGTTTAAAAAGTACACGTTCCTCTTTAAAAATCCAAAATCTCACCACCACGTGGTAGTGGCACAGGCCTTTAGTCCCAGCACTCGGGAGGCAGAGGCAGGTGGATCTCTGAGTTCAGGTCAGCCTGGTCTACAGAGTGAGTTCCAGGACAACCAGGGTGACACAGAGAAACCCTGTCTCAAAAAAAAACAAACAAAAATCCAGTCTCTTAACTGTGGGATGCTGTAAAATCCAAAACCAAGTTTCATAATTGATGTGGGAGTGTCATATATCAATCTGTTGATTTCATTGGCTGAGCAATAAAGAAACTGCTTGGCTGGCCCTTAGCTTAGAGCATAGATGGGAGGAGGAAACAGAATAGAATTCTGGGCGGAAGAGGAAGTGAGGTCAGACTCTGCTCTGCTCCCAGACAGACGCCATGGTCAGCTCTCCCGGGTAGACGCGATAGCTCTGCTCTCTGAGGCACACGCGATGAAGATGGACATAGGCTAGAATCTTCCCGGTAAGCGCACCTTGGGGTGCTTACACACATTATTAGAAATGGGCTAGTCCAGGTGCGAGAATTAGCCTGTAAGGGCTAGAGTTCATGGGCCAAGCAGTTCTTAAATGAATACAGTTTGTGTGTTGTTATTTCGGGCATGAGCTAGCCAAGCGGCCGGGGTGTTGGGGACGCAGCCCTGCCGCTCATATTTCAACACATAATTTCTTTTTCCACAAGGGAACTTGCTTCCCAAGGGAAGAATAAGGGCATAGTTACAATCAGGCCAATGCAAAATCCAAATCCTATAGCATAAACAGTTCGGTGTCTGACATCTGAGACTCACGATCTGCTGGGATCCAGAGGGCTTTCACGTTGTAGTTCCCCTGCTCTGCCGTCTGTAACGTACAGTTTGTCTTGTTGGCTCTGGTTGGATTCACATCACACCTGCCGCTCGCTGACCTTGGTCACCTTATAGTCCCGGCTGATCCAGTATTCTGGGGTTTTCCCTAAAGCTGAGTCTGCAGACTTCACCAATGGCCTCTCCTGGCTTCATCCAGTGTCGACCTTTAGCTGCTCTCAATGGCTCCTTCGTGCCTTCAAATCCAGTACCATGTGGGAGACTCTTACATGTTATTTGCCAGATTCTGCTGCCAGTTTGATAGGCATCCTTGGCCTACCCCACTCCTGGACCACAGCGTCTGTGTGCTGACACTGAGGAAAATATTTCCCAGATGTTGCCTGCCGATGCTGGTCTTATTAACTTCAGCTGAGTTTTCACCCCAGCTAACCAGCATCCCTTGTCCCGATGTGCATCCCTAGCCAGCTAACCAGCATCCATTGTCCCAATGTGCATCCCTAACCAGCTAACCAGCATCCCTTGTCCTGATGTGCATCCCTAGCTAGCTAACCAGCATCCCTTTTCCCAATGTTTCACTGCCACAGATTTTTAATAGCTCATCCTAGTGGCCCTGATAAAGTCTTTGAGGGATTCTCAACCTTCTCTTTGAAACCCTACAAACCTGGTCTCCATCATCTGCATTTCTTTCAACATTTGTTTCTTCCAAACCACCATAGAAGAGCCCATTCACCTCCGACTACTTGATGACTTTTCTGGCTCAAAGTTCCAAATGCTTCCACAACCCTCCCGCTAAAAACAACGTGGTCAAGACCATCACAGCAACACCCCCCTTCTGTCACCGGTTTTCATTCTGGTTTGCTTTTTGCTTCCTGTGAGAAATAACATGCTTCCCATCCCCAATCAAAACTACTTGAGAAAGAAAAAATATATTTCAGTTTATAGGTTATAGTCCATCATCAAGGGAAACCGGGGTAGGAGGAAGGAAGGAGCCTGAAGGCAGGAACTGAAACAGAGAGACCACAGAAGCAACCTGGCTTGCTCCCAGGCTCACACTCGGCTCACTTTCTTATATGGCCCAAGCCCATCTTCCCAGGGGCGGCACCATACGTGGTGGGCTAGGCCCTCTCACACCAGTCAACAATCAAGAAGATGCCATGCGGGCATTCCTAGAAGCCAATCTGATGGAGATGGTCCCTCCGTGGAGTGCTCTCTTTTCCACGTATGTCAAGTGAACAACCCAAACTTAGCCACAAGCTCACCCCCCACCCCCGTTCTGTTCTCTTCCTGTTAAAGCCTATAGGTGGCGGCTGCCCTGTCCTTGAAGGGCATCCCAAGCTGGCTGCGTGGTACCATCGAGTTGAGGCAGCGGTGGGAAAGGAGCTCTTCCGTGAGGCCAATGAGGTCATCCTGAAGGCTAAGGACTCTCCTCCTGCCAACCCCATCATAAAGCAGAAGCTGATGTCTAGAGTGCTGGCCATGATCCAGTGAGGGCAGACCCTCCTCCCTGCACCGCCCATGGGCCTTCACAAAGCCTCACAGCACAACGGTTCTTAGGCCAGGCTCCATCTTCACCCTCTTTCCACGATAGCCACACATGACCACGACTAAATTGCTAGCTTTAACTTTTTGAGTTCGGATAATAAACCTAGCCTCGAGTTGAGCCTTAGCTTCTCCGTGTTGTTTATTTGACCTTCCTCTATTTGGGTCCAGTTATCTTTCCCAAAGACAACTCCATTTCCCAGGCTTTGAGGTCCTCCCGCCCCCCACCCCCACCCCGTAGCTGCCGAGAATGCAATCACTGATAGGCGTGGAGTGAGAGAATCACTGAGAGTTCAAGGCCAGCCTGGGCTACACATTGAGGATCCATTCCAGCCTGGGATACAGTGTGAGACTGTATCTCAACAACAAAACAACAACAGACAGAGCACGCTAAATCACAAATGCCCTTCAGACTTCTGGCTCTTGGAGGATCCCATTGGCAGGTGCCTTAGCTGCAGGCATGCAAATCCATCACTTGGCCAGGCCATCTCTTGGACATGCCCCTTCATAGATCATCAGCCTTTCCTGACCTACAGACAGAATTGATCAAGAGGAGAAAAGGCCCACATCAGCTCTCCTGGTCAAAGGTCATGCTCAAACGGATAGCAGGAATGTGGGGCTCAGATTGCATCCTGGGATCACAGTCTAGCTGTTGGGGGTGGAGGAGTGGATTAGAAGGCAGCCCGGAAGGAGCTGTGAGAGGCCGGATAGTGGGGGTGGGGGTGGGTGGGTAGACAAAGGCAACTTGTGGTGAGCTAGTAAGCTCCAAAGGAAAGCTATGGGAAAATGGAGAAGGGGCCCCTCCCCCCAGTCTAGCTTCCACTGTGACAAGAAGACACTTTGCTGGGGGCGGGTGGGGGGGATAAGTCTCCCCTTAACAGGAAACATTTAGGACTAGGAAGATAAAGCTGTTCTCAGCTTTCCCAGTGACCTACTGTCTTGCCAAGACACGTTTTCCGAAATTGTCATTTGAGATACTGGTGAGTTTCCCAGGCAAAACCAATGTAGTCAGATGTGCCCGTGAGTGCTATTGAACGCTTTTTGCACTGGGTGGAGACGTTTTATCCAATCCCGGGCACATCTGCAATCCTCCCTCCCCTTAGCCTCTAGAAGAGGATTAGCTGGAATTAAATAATAATGGGGAGGGCCAGGTCGTTTCTGTGGACCCAGCCTTTGCACACTTGGCCAAACATCACCCCCATCCTGAGTCCTGGGCCCGGGGAACTGAGGGGGGAAGGCAGTTGAACTTTCTCCTTTTCCGCATGAAGGATCTCTTTAGCCACTCCTCTCTCTCTCAGCCCTCTCCCTGAGTGGACGGAGAGAAAGTGAACTGTGGGCAGCAACACTTTTGCCCCTAAATTCAGCGATGGAAATGCCCTTCGCGTCCCTTTCCCCATTAGTACGCTCTGCTCCTCATTCTATCTAAACACGGAGGTACGAGGAGAAGCACCCAGGTATACAGTTAGGTTGATCGAAGCAGAACTAACCCGCAGCCCGCCTCTGATTGGCCCAAAGTTCTCATGAGCATCCAATGGGAGGAAAGGCTGCGATCTGGCTCGGGTATAGGATTAGACGCCCGGAGGGCCTGGACGCAGCCGTTCTTGTTTGCCGTTGTAGCTGCTTCCAGCTCTGTCTCCAGGGGGGCAGTTCCCCAAAGTCAGTCTCTGAGGTTTGTCCGCGGCCGCTCCTACAACCTCCACCATGGGCCTGGAGCTCTACCTGGACCTGATGTCCCAGCCCTGCCGTGCTGTCTACATCTTCGCCAAGAAGAACAACATCCCCTTCCAGCTGCGTACCATAGAGTTGCTCAAAGGTGAGCCGAGTTGGCGGCGGGCTGGGTAGTCTGCAGCCTTGAGTACGCTGCACCTCTGCCGATTGTAGCCCGGGAGCGGTCAGGCCAGGAGTGCAAACAGGAGAGGAAACGCCTGCTGCTCCCGTGAGGAAGCGGTTGTGTCAGTTAGAAGCTGTGATTCTTTTAGAGTTATTTGTTTTATGTATGTATACAGTGTGTGTACGGGTACCCCGGAAGGCCAGAAGAGGGCTTTTTAAATCCTTCTCACCCGGAGTTACAGATAATTGTCAGCCACCTGTCGTGGGCGCTGGGATCTGAACGCCGGTCCTCTGAAAGACTAGCCTACATCTCTAGTCCTCTCAGCTGTGAATTTTTAGAGACCCTTTGCCTGGTAAATAACATCCTTCCAAATACCATATGCTAAGGCGCCGTGGAAGCTCTGGTGGTGGGGCGGGGCAGGGTATGAAAATCCCACCTCCTGTCACGGGAGAAAATAGGTTGAACTAACTCATTTTCTATGCAGAGGATCCTCATCTCACGTTTCTGCATTCTGGGGCCGAAAAGAGTTGGTTTACTTGGGTGTGTGATCTTTCACTTAGGACTCTTGAGTGTCTCCTACCCACCAGAGTCAAGTGCCAGGCTTGCTTGCCATGGTGTGTGTGTGTGTGTGTGTGTGTGTGTGCGCGCGCCCCTCGTGCTACTGGGACCAAACCAGTAGCCACCACTGAGCTACACTCCCAGCCCTCTCTGTGCTTGTCATTTTGAGACAGAGTTGCTGAGTTGTCCAGGCGTTGCACTCACTCTTAGCCCTTTCAAGCCCTGAGTCCGGAATCCTTCAGTTTCCCACGTAGCTGGAATCACAGGCTTGCCTGGGCAAGCCACCTCCCCTTCTAGAAGTTTGTTTTCAGGGTGTTTCCTGTCAGCTAGAGGGTTCTGTGAAAGGACAGTGGGAGAGGCCAGCACTCTGACTGGAGCTGGAATGTTGCTCTGGTTAGCCTGAGAAACAAAACAAAACAAAACACAGCTCCTGTGCCAGAACTCAGTGGAGGCAGGGCTACAACTGGACACGGTCACGCAGGGTGGGGTGGGGTAGGGGAATGACAGGCAGAGAATTTAGAACTTAATTGTTCTGCTGAGTCCTCCCACTGGCTGTCTTTGGGACTTTCAACTTGGGCTGCAGGACAGGGGCTGCACATAGGCAGTTTGGGAGAAGGAGGATGGACCAAGGTGATGGGATCCATTCAGTGGAAAGAGAGAGAGGCCCACAGATGAGTCTAGACTCCTGGCTTCACCAATGCCTGCATACGGAATTCATATTGACTGGGCAACCCCCCCTTGTATCATCAGATCTGGCTTAGGCACAGTGATCAGAAGAGAGGTAATGAGTTTGGTCTGGGAGTTTGGTCCAAGTGGGGAGGAGCTTTGAAGGCTTGGCACAGAAAAGGAAGAATTGAGCTGCTAGGGGCCAGGTTGCTGAAGGGGGGGGGGGGCACTTGTCCCTGGCAAGAGCCACTCTGAGCTGAGAACTGAGAAGAGGGAGGGCTGGAGCTCTGGGGTAGACATAGGTCACCTGGTCTGGTCAGAAGAACCCACCAAGTTCTTGCCTGGGATAGGAAGATGGTTCAGAGCCCAGGGAATGAGACTGGGTGTCTGCCTAGGGTGACTGTAGGCCATAACTGCACAGAACCGCCTCGTTTCCCATACCCAAGTGGACACAGAGGTGAAAGCAAATGGATTTGCGATAGGATCAATATCTGTGATCCACCGGCCAGCACGGTGGCTTCCTCTTCGCTGAGGCCTTGTGTGGAAAACTGGTGCCTGAGTGGAGGGGAAGGCTACAGACAGCCCCGGAGTCCTCTTCCTGACTCTCTGGTCTCTCTGCAGGCCAGCACTACACTGATGACTTTGCCCGGGTGAACCCATTGAGGAAGGTGCCCGCTTTGAAGGATGGGGACTTCGTCTTGGCAGAGAGGTAATGTGTTTCTGGCTTGCAGCCAAGCTGTGTGAGGCAGGCCACCTGTCTGAGCCCACTGCCAACAACTTGGACTGTGGCTTCTGTGTCAGCCCCAGGGGTAGGATTGGATGAAACTCAGATAGGTACCCGGGGCTGAGGTAGGGATTTTGAAGACATGCTATGCCTGCCACCCTCTGCATTTTTGGATGAGGAAACACTAAGCCAGGGGTATGGGGGCAGGGGGACAGGCTGCTTCCCAGATCCTTGATGAAAGGATGCGAGAGCAGCAGAGGGAGGAATCAAACACATCTTAGTTTTGTCTTAGGAGAGATGGACAGAGAGGATGGGCATCCCTGGCAGAGACACAGGTCCCAGTAGGGGAGGTAAGGAGTTGGTGAGGGAAGGAAGTGAGCCAGGCCGTGATGGTCAGGAGAATCTTGCAGCCTGCCTGACTGGCAGCCAGAGTGCTTCTTTATTTATACAGACTTAGTAGGCAGGGATACATGCATGTTGTTCCAAAACATAGGTCGTGTCATTTTTGGTTTTGCACATTGTCTCACTTCCTTTTGCTCATCTTTTAGTCGTCATTAATAAGCAGTGGCAGAACAGTTATCGTTGCCGATCATTTTCCCTCGTTTTGACATCATTGATAAACAGTTATCATTTTAAATCACACTTGTTAACCCTATGACCCAATTTTTAAGACTCTAGAGGCTATGACAGCCTGTTCTCAGGCCGGTAGCCTTTATGGCTACAAGGACACTAGACCAAAAGAAAATCTCCAAGTCAGCCTGAGCATACTGCCATGTCCCCAAGCAGTGTATTATCAACCCGTAATGGTCAGAGGGCCCAAGAAAAGTTCTCAGACCAAAGCTGCTAGAGTTATTATTCAAATTCTGGAATAATACAATGTTTATATTTTATATCTTTATAGAATTTGTCTGTATGTCAAATGCCAGGATTAGTCCTGGCATTCCATTGTTCCTTGGTCATGTGACATCACAGTGGCTCTGCATGTGCTAACTTTTCTAAGACAGGGAGGTCCTGACATCTGATTCTTTTATCGTCTTTCTACTTCATCCTTTGCCCATCAATATGAGTGAGGTAACCTTAGCTATATAATATATATAAACCTCTTCACATCATATATATATACAATCTGATCTGTGGCCAACTCCTCCAGCCCACCGAATCTTGTTGACCTTTTTGAGTTTACTTTGTTTTGAATATCTTGTTTCTGCATAGGTATAGGAACAGATGTTTCAAGAATGTCTCGTAGCCTCATAAAGAGACCTCTGGCTCCTTTGTGTGCGTCACAACCTTCAAGGCATGAGGAAGACTTTCAATTAGATAAAGATATCTCCCTCAAAGTGTGTTCAGGACTGTCCTGGGGGAAGCTGAGAAGCAGCATTCATGGGAGAAGATGTAAATGATTCATAAGAAATTTTCCATCAATCCAATATTTCCAGATTGTACAAATATTAAAAGTCCCCCAAGTGCGCAGCAGGTGGAGAGGAAAAGCAAAGGTGGCGCAGGGACCATCATGCGGCTCAGCTTGTCAAGCAGCTGACATTATCACCTTTGCCGTTCATATCAGATATGGCTGTGCCAAGAATGGACCGAGCCAAAGAGCAGCTGTACCAGGCTCTGCAAATACCACATCTACCACATATCCTGGGGTGGGGCAGGGGAGTGGGAGCTGCTTCCCTTGAAGCCAAAGGCTCACCCGTTGAACTCAGTCACCTTCCGCCGAGCACCCAGCATGCTGCACCAGGCCACTGTCTGTCCCTGGAGCTTGAGCAGAACATAATCTGGGCCCGCATGGAACTCTTATTTTGGAGGGAGGCGTGGCAATGACATGACAGGTGGAGGAGACACAGGTCGGGGGTGTGGCTGCATGTGAGGGGTTAGGAGGGCGGCCTGCTGCAGAGGTGGGAACGTCCAGTGTGGGTGTGCGGGTATGTGGGCAGTGTACTCTTGCCAGAAGGACCATGCAGGGGTACAGGCTGAAGGGCTGAGGCCGGCACTGCTGAGGTGAAGGAGTTGGGGGGGGCATTGGGAGATAGGGAAAGACGTAGACCTTTCCTGTGGGCAGGAAGAGCCTCAGGAGAACCTGAACAGGGAATTCCCATCCCCCTTGTGTTTGAAAGGGTTCCCAGGCTGGCTAAGAAGGCACTTGGAAATTCAGGCACAAGACACTCTGGCTATGGACCAAGGTGACTTAAGAATGACCAGGGCGTGTTCTCCTCCCCTCTGCTTTCCTCCAGTGTGGCCATCTTGCTCTATCTGAGTAGGAAGTACAAGGCCCCTGACCACTGGTACCCTCAGGACCTCCAGGCTCGAGCCCGTGTAGATGAGTACCTGTCGTGGCAGCACACAGCCCTCCGGAGTTGTTGCAGCAGGGCCATGTGGCAGAAGGTGAGCCACAGGACAAAGGGCAGGGTCCCCTCTCAGGCTGCATCAGAGATGGTGCTCCGGGTTGAAGTGAAAGTTCTTGGGCCAGTGGTGTAAAGGCAGTGGGTGTCAGGCAAGCCTGACAACCCGAGTCCAATTCCTGTGACCCGCATGGTAGAAGGAAAGAACCGGTTCCTGCAAGTTGCCTTCTGACCCCCCCCCCCCCGCAAGCATGTGTGGTGAGAGAGGCATGCACTTGCGTGTGTGAGAGCATGTGTGCATGCACTCAAAAGAAATAGATAAAACAAATACATTTTCTTTTTTAAAGCAATTTTTCCTAATATTTATTTATTTATTTATATGTATACAGTGTTCTGTCTGCATATATGCATGCAGGCCAGAAGAGGGCGCCAGATCTCATTACAGATGGTTGTGAGCCACCATGCGGTTGCTGGGAATTGAACTCAGGACCTCTGGAAGAGCAGTCACTGCTCTTAACCGCTGAGCCATCTCTCCAGACCCCAAACAAATACACTTTCAATTAAATGTTATTTTTAAGCTTTTCAACTTAGGGATCTTAGCATTCCATCACGGAATGTCATAGGTTAATGCTAGACGCACTCCTGAGTACTGGCGTTAGCCCAGTAAACTCCCTCCACAGTGTATCAACTACCACGTCTCTCTTGAGAAGTCCCACTTGAATAAAAGGGGATCTGGAGTAGGGACAGGATGGCAGCTGCTACACCGTGGAGGGCTTTGTGTTGAGGTCTTGGTCCTGAGAGCCAGGAATGACTTGCTGCAGGAAAAGGGTAAGAGCGAGCCGGGCGGTGGTGGCGCACGCCTTTAATCCCAGCACTCGGGAGGCAGAGGCAGGCGGATCTCTGTGAGTTCGAGACCAGCCTGGTCTACAGAGCTAGTTCCAGAACAGGTTCCAAAACCACAGAGAAACCCTGTCTCGAANGTTCCAGAACAGGTTCCAAAACCACAGAGAAACCCTGTCTCGAAAAACCAAAAAAAAAAAAAAAAAAAAAAGGGTAAGAGCGAGACAAAAGATGAGTGTTGGGCAGAGCCAAATGTTTCTTTTTGCCGGTCCACCAGATGATGTTCCCTAAGTTCCTGGGGCAGCCGGTGCCCCCAGAGACGTTGGCATCCACTTTGGCTGAACTGGACAGGTGCCTGCAGATGCTGGAGGACAAGTTCCTGCGGGACCAGGCCTTCCTTACGGGATCCCATATCTCCGTGGCTGACCTGATGGCCATCACAGAGCTGATGCACGTGAGTGCTGTGGACTGGGGCCATCTGCTGGACGATGGAGAGGCCTGGGGGGGAGCCCTTGCTCATGCTGACTCCTGGCTGTGGGGCCCTGGATAAGTCACTTTTCCCTGTGAGCCTGAGTCTTCATCTATAATGTGAATTTTAAAATATTTTATTAGCATATATTAATTGTACATAAGTTTTGTTATGACTTTCATACATGTACATAATGTATTTTGATCAGATTCACCCCTTTCTGTTTCTTGTCCCCTCCTCGTCTCTCACTAGCTTCCATTCTACTATCATGGTGTGTGTGTGTGTGTGTGTGTGTGTGTGTGTGTGTGTGTCTGTTTCAGCGAGTTTCATCAAGGTTGTTTACTGGAGGATGGGTGAGGATTTGTTTACAAAAGCGTGGCGCCTTGCCAGTGGCCACGGAAGAAAATGTCCTCTCTCAACAACTATTATCCTCAGAGAGGGGTGAGACCCCAAGTGTCCTTTGTCTCTCCCAGACAGGATGCTAGTGGGTCCGATAATATGCAAATGCTACACCATTCCATTCCCGTTTCTGCCGGCTCTTAGATTCTTTCCACTTCTTCCCCAGTATTTCCTTCCTAAGCCTTGGGAGGGGATGGCATAAAATGCCTGATTTACAATTGAGCTTTTGACCATCACGTTTCTTAGCATTACCAAGTAAATCCTTATAACTTCTTCCAACAGGGGCATTGAGAGGCGCATCACACATGGATGCGCGTGGGGGGGGGGGGTCGGTCCTGAAATAGGCCATGCTGCCTTTGTAGATGGTGGAACTTAGCCCCTCCTCTACTTGACTTCTCCCCACAGCCCGTCAGTGCTGGCTGCAAAATCTTCGAGAGCAGACCCAAACTGGATGCCTGGCGTCAGCGCGTGGAAGCTGCCGTGGGGGAGAACCTCTTCCAGGAAGCCCACGCAGTTGTCCTGAAGGCCAAGGACATGCCTCCTTTGATGGACCCTGACTTGAAGGAGAAACTGAAGCTCTCGGTGCAGTGTCTGTTATATTGAGGGAGTGGCCCAAACCTGTGGCGCCATCAAGGGGAAACTCTGGGCTGTGCAAGTGAAGAGATGAGGCAGACTGTCCCCGCGGCTGTCACTAGGATGTGGAGTCTCTCTCTGGTCCATAATTTCCTTTAGGCCTCATCAGTTTTCCTCATCAGGAAAGCCCTGGGGAAACACTTGCTTTGAAACTTTACAAACCATTGAACCTGTAAAGCTTGCCCCACCCTCCATGTCACACCTTTCTGGCTGCATTCACTTCAGGCCCCTCTTCTGCTCTCCAGTTGCTCCCCACCCCATGCCCTTCCCTTATTTTTTGACATTTGGCACTTTGTGTCCCCTTTGGGTCCTCGTTCCCAGTGCTTCCCTTCCTCTGTTTTGGCAGGCAGGATCTATGACCCCTGGCTTGAACACTTGTCACAGATCAGAAGGCCTTTGTCCTCTGGGTCCTTCTCCCTCTGGGGTGATGCTGCCTGCCATAATAGGGTATAGGGTTGGTTCATGAAGTTCTTTGCAGGGTGGAAGTTTCTGACAGTGTCCTGACTTTCCAAATTCTGCCAAGCAGTGCTGCTTGTCCCAAGTCTCCTTGCCCTGGCTGCTGTCTTCTGAGTGTCTCTAACTCCAAATTGTCAGGCTACTTAATCTTGTGCTGTAGGACCTCTGGTCTGTGCGTTACCTAATAAATGAATTGCTAATAGAACAACAAGAGTGATGGTCGAGTCTCTCAATCCATTTGCTTACATTTCCTTTATTTATTTTTTTTCAAGATTTATTTATTATGTATACAACTTTCTGCCTCCATTTATACCCACATGCCAGAGGAGGGCGCCAGATCTCTTCACAGATGGTTTGGAGCCACCACGTGGTTGCTGGGAATTGAACTCAGGACCTCTGGAAGAGCAGACAGTGCTCTTAACCACTGAGCTATCTCTCCAGCCCGTTACATTTCCTTTAGTATGTACACCTAGATTGAGTGTGTGTGTGTGTGTGTTATTGTGGGTTTTTTTTTTTGGGGGGGGGCGTTCAAGACAGGGTTTCTCTGAAACTCGGTCCTCAGACCAGACTGGCCTTGAACTCAGAGTGCCACCTGCCTCTGCCTCCTGAGAATGTTGGGATTAAAGGCGTGCACCACCACTGCCCGGCCAGATTGCCTTGTTTTAAATGGTTCTGCTACCCTCTCATCACTCACAGAAGAGGCTACAAACCCAGGTAGTTTAAGGTCCAACTGGAGATGCCCTTGTCCTAGGGTCTTGCCCAAGCGCATCTCACTCACAGGTGATACCTGGTCTCAAGACTGTTCAAAAGAAGTGTAATTCCTATATTGAATTTGAAATAATCATAATCATTCAAGAAACTTTAAGTCAGCCTGGCGCTGTGAAGTCTACAGAAATATATGGGTTGTGGGCATTTCGCTGGGACGCTCAGAGGGAAACAGAGCCCTCTGCTGACTGGGAGGGCCAAAGGCTCTAAAGCTGGGAGTTAGGTAAGTTGGAGCCAGCACACGTGATTGCAGAAGAGGCGTAGTCCGGGTAGCCAATCCAGAACTGCCGATGCTGCCCGGCCAATGAGAAGCTTAGCTGCGCCCCCTCTCAACGCCCCGCCCCGCTCCCCTTTTCTGGAACCTCTGCTGGCTCCGGCGGCTCTCTGCGCAGTTGCGGCTTTGCGATCCCTCTCGCCCCCCAACATGCCATTCATTGAGTTGGAAACGAACTTGCCAGCTAGCCGCATACCTGCAGGGCTAGAGAAGCGGCTGTGTTCGGCCACCGCCGCCATCCTGGACAAACCCGAAGACGTGAGCTAGGGTCGGGGAGCCCTGGGCGAGCGGAAGTTGTGGGCTAGGGGTCAGACTTCCCAATGACCCTTACTCTTATCACCAGAGACCCCACCTGCCTGCTAACCTCTGACCTTGCGTGTCCCATCCTCCCTTCCCAGGTCCCTTCCTGGTTGCCCCTCCTAGGCGTGACCCAGACGTCTCTGACTTCCAGGGTTCCTAGACCAGTGCCCCAAATCCTCATCCCTCAGACTCCCCCACCTTAAGACTTTGGCTTGCCGGGACGCCAGCCCGGCCTGCCTACGCTTTAGGACTTAAACTTTTATGCTCCTTGCAGCGCGTGAGTGTGACGTTACGGCCTGGCATGACCTTATTGATGAACGGATCCACAGAGCCCTGCGTCCAACTTCTGGTCTCTTCCATCGGCGTTGTGGGCACGGCAGAGCAGAACCGCAGCCACAGCTCCCGCTTCTTCGAGTTCCTCACCAAGGAGCTGGCCCTGGACCAGGACCGGTATGTGTAGGGCGAGTAAGGGAACTTACCTGGGACTGCTAAGCCGCCAGAGCGATTCTGACCCCGTGCCCGCTGGATGGGGATGGGGCACATCTGCTGGTTCCAGAAAGCACTCCAGGACCTAGAGCAAGGAGATGCATCTGCTCCTTAGGCCCTGGAACGGTGGGCCTGTGTTTAGAATAGTTGTAAGATTTTGATTCCTTCGAAGACCTGCAGCCATCCCTGTTAGCCCCGAGTAAGGATGGCTTGGGAAACCCCCGTGTTTCTGTGTGTGTACTGAGAATGTGGTCAGGTACCCTGAGAACCACCATGGCCTCTGCCCTGTCTCTGAACCAGGGTGTCTGGTCTTCAGGGAGAACCTTTCCACAGGGAATCTGGTTATGTCCTGAGGCAAAGAACTTTGGACTAGATAAGATAAGGTTCCAGGACAGTCACCAAGTAGCTAGCTACAAGACCATTGGCCCAGGTAGCTGTAAACACCTTGATTTGAGGGCTGCCACAGCTAAGAGAGCCCAGATAAATCTGGATTTGAACCACCTCCAATTTGTAGCCTTCTCTTCCATAAAAGCAGTGGGTCAGGCCAAGTAACTTCCCTCTCTGACTAGAAGGTGTCCCCTTTCCTTCTCTCAAAAACAAAATCCAAAACCAACCAACCAAAAAAAAAAAAAACCCAAACAACAACAAAAACACCTTACACTCTGAAGCAGGGTTAGGGCCTCATATTCCTGAGCCTAGCCCATATCTGTGAGGCACTATGGGTAAAATTTTGAAAGAACCTTACAGAATGGAGTCCTTTTGGCTCAGGAAAGTTAGTAATGACTGCTTGGGGTGGCTGCTTAAAGTCCATCCTTCAGTCCTAGAGACAGTTAAATACTTTTTTAACTGTAACACTCTTGAGCTCGGCACATACCAGGGTTGCTACACCCATTACCGCGTTTGATCCTTAAGTGCTTCTGTGCAGATTTGGTATCTTCATCAGGTAGATAATTGCGTTAGACCAACTTTACAGAGTGTCAGCCCTGAGCACGGCGCCCCCTGGTGCCAGGCGATCACTAGACACTTTAAAAAAAAATCTCTGGCCGGGCGGTGGTGGCGCATGCCTTTAATCCCAGCACTTGGGAGGCAGAGGCAGGCGGATCTCTGTGAGTTCGAGACCAGCCTGGTCTACAAAAGCTAGTTCCAGGACAGGCTCCAAAACCACAGAGAAACCCTGTCTCGAAAAACCAAAAAAAAAAAAAAAATCTCTGATGACTCAAATTCCACAGATTTGACTCAGGGTTGACCTTTGCCTGGCTTTGAGCTGGATTTTGGTTAAAAACAAAATATCTGTGCCCGGAGCATGCCCAGAGGAGTCTGAAGTTAGGAGGAGGACTGTCCCTCTCAGCCCTTATACAGCCTGACATATGCAACTATGTACAGAATAAACTTACCAAAGTACATTTATGTCTGTCCTGGGCCTATGTCCAGCCATCATCATGCACCTGACTGTCTCAGTGCAAGGGTCATTAGCTGGGGTGGGCAGACTGGTAAAATACCCTATAGGCTGATGTGGGCTGGCCTGAGCTCTTACCTTGGCATGTCTGCCAGGGACCTTGGCAGATGAGGAGTTTGCCAAGGAGTTGACTTTTTTTTTTTTTTCTGCTTCCTGAAGGATATGTATCCGCTTCATCCCCTTGGAGGCCTGGCAGATTGGAAAGAAAGGAACTGTCATGACATTTCTATGATTGAAACAAAGAATCCAGGGCGCCTGCTGAGCCTGTCCAGAGCCCTCTAGAGAGGCTTCCTGGCAGACTTGTGGCCGGTAGACACCACTGCCGAATACCTCCTTTGTATATGTGTCTGTGGCTTCACTGCACACTTTGGTTTTTCTTCTCCAGTCTCATGAATAAATATGAGGTCAAATAAACGAAGAGAGTGTAACCCCAACATGGCTTCTCTGCTTCTGTTACCCCTCTTTGGCATCCTGGACACTCTCGAGGGTGTCATCAGGGCAAAGGATGGGGTGTTTCCTGTTCACGGGGCTGCTGTTTCATGTCTGCTAAAATCTGGGGTGCAGACACTTGGAAGGCCTGCTTTCCACACCCGTGTGCAGACCACTGGGGACGTGAGAGCAGCTGGTCCGGCGGGATGGAGAGACAATCCTTACCTTGGCCTGGGCTATCACTGTTGACTGCTGAGCTGGGCCTGGAGAATGAGGCTGGCTGCATTTCAGGGATCATCCCGGGGGCTTCACTGTGTTCCTTGAGTCTTGTTGATGCCAAATGCGGGGAATGTAATACCCGCTACCATGCCAGGTCCGGAGATGCGATTCCTTCCACTAGGAACGGAAGAGCTGCTATTCCCACTTCCCATCTACATGGCTTTGTATTTCAGACTCTACAGACGGAGTGAGGAGCCCAAAGCAGTCTCCGTCTCTTCCTTTCCATACGTTCTGTGCAGAGCTTACTGCTTATAACCCATAGATACCCCTGCATGGTTAGATGGTTGGCTATCCTCATCTTTAGACACCGATGAAACTTCACGTTACGCTTTTTATCCCATAAGCTCAAAGTTAGTTTCCAGTGGTGCTTGCCTAGGCCTGCTGTTTGTGAGTGGTGCTGCTGGGGCCTCTCATTGAAGGCTCTGCCTTGGAGACCCTTCGGGCTCCCTGTAGTTTAGCACACTTCCCAGGCTGGAGTGAGGTAGCTCCTGATGTGTAATGTGAGGTGAGGGCAGCTGGCTGAGTGATGTGGAACATGGTGCCAGCAGTAGGGTTTGCAGAAGTATTGGCCATAGATGTGGGGGATAATGGGAGACAAAGTCAGCCTCCGGGCATGCGGCTGATGGAGACAGTATCCTGTGCTGAGACCATACAACCCCTCCGGGACAGAGTCCAATTCACAGAGCATATTCTAACAACTATGTGAACGAGATGCTGTGTTCAGGCCATTGACCAGATGCGCGGTGTGAGCCTCTTGAAGAGGAATGAGAGAGTCTAGGAACTCCCAGAGAGTAGGTAGCAGTGGCCTTTTGTTACCTAAGAGGATGTTCTCACCCCCAGGGGAGTGAGGAGGTCCGTAGCATTGCTGCTAGCTCTGTCTGTTCTAGGGGAGATGGTGGGAATGGATCCAAGTCCTTCATGAGGTTTTGTTTCTTTTGTGACATCCTGAGATCAAATGATGGAGTGGCCCAGTGCATTGATGTTCGACCCTTGGCAAATCACCTACCCTCTCAGCTTCTTTCCTCCTCTGCACCATATGGAGATGAAAATATCCCCCCAGATGGCTGGAGAATGGCCACGGTACCTTCTCTTCCCACTGCATTTCCCCAGTGTTGACATCCTACCTACCATATCTAAGCCACAGCACCAAGGAAGGCCCCTGACCACTAATACCTCCAGATCTATAGTCCTAAGCCCTTTGGTTGTCTGCAGAGTTGCTGTA